CCAAGGACCAGGTCCCAACATCAATTACCTTCCTTTGGGGTAACTGCTTATATCTCAGTGATCTCTGAGCAGTTCCCACAACCCCGTGCCCTGTTTGGGGTACAGGGGGCGGGAGGAAGAGGTCAGACCCACTGCCTCCAAGTCCAGGCTCTGCCACTACTTAACCTGTGGTCCCGGGCCCCTCACCTCCTCTCCCTGAGCTTCCATTTCCTTCTTCTCCAAAATAGTGACAATCAAATAATGACCAGCATCCTCTTCTCAAAGACTCCTCATAGGATGGGGAGATGGGGGTCTGCCTACCCAGGAGTCTCCCTCTGGCTGAGGGTGAACCAGACCCAGACGTTCTCAGCTGGGTTCACCCAGCCACCAGCTGTGTGTCTAGGTAATAACCAGACACAGCTTGTATCTGTGTATTTTGCGGTATCTGGGCCCAGATACCGCAAAATCAAAAGGGAAAGTGAAGGCCCTGGATCAGAGTTGCTCACAGCACAGGCTCTGCCCAGCAGGCCCCACCCTCATCTCTTTCCTCCCTTCCTACTGACTCCTTAGATAAATAACACAAGACCTGACATTCCAGGTCCTTCTAGGCTCAGTCCATCTTGCCTCAGTCTCTGCAAAGTACCACCTGCCACCAACACACTAGGAAGCCCTGGGGAAATCACTCCCCCACTCCATGGGCTGCCTCCCAGCCCCCTCTGCCCTCTCCACCCCCTACACTCCCCAGCCTGCCTGCTTTATGCACCTTCGTGCCACCAGCACTTGGCACAGTCCCCGAACATACCAGAGGCTCCCTGTGCACCTGTCATGTTGCTGCTGCTGAATGCCTCCCTCATGCAGGTTCTAAGTATTCGCTCATTCAGGTCTTTCTGCCAGAACGCCTGCTCCTACCACCTGGAAAAATCAGGCTCCTGCTCCAGAGCACAAATCGGGCATCACTTCCTCTTAGATTGTCCTCCAGGACCTTCCCCCTGCAGGACCTTCCCCTGCAGGGTCCCCTGCTCTGCTCCCATGGTACCTGGGGAGAGGGGCCTGAGCCTCCCCTCAGCCAGTGTGTCTATGCCCCCCACCTCTTGATCAGGGCGCTCTAGACCTGGCCCTGCTGGCAGGGACAGCACCGGTGCCTTTGGGCCCCAGTGACTCCCCTGAGGAGGCCCATCCTGAGGGTCACCGCCATTTGGATGGCTGCAGAGGGCTGGGGATAGTGCTGACAATACACTGCTCTTTTCTTCCCTGGCTCGTTTCCACTGGACAGCAGAGCTTTTTCTCTCCAAGTGGAGGATGCTTGCTGGAGTGCCAGTGCGCTGGCAACTCAGAAATGTCTAAAACAGAAAGCAAGTCCTGTTTCCTGTTTGGTTCCCAGGCAAAGAGCCACGGTGGATGGAGGACACAGGGTGTGCCGTGTGCTGTCCAGGTACGTATATAGAATTT